AAAATGTCAAGGTTCTTTAAAGTCAATGAAAAAGAGAAATGGTTTAGTAGAGAACTTAAATGGTTTAGTAGTGGAGATAAAAATTCATAAGAGCTACTCACTACTAAAGAGCGAGCAAGGGGAGAGACTCAAACATCATTGAAAAGTTCCAACCTGGGGTAACTATAATAACTATGGCAAGAATAACTGAAAAGAGAATGTGGGAAGAAAAATCAAGTTTGTCAAAGACACAATAATGAATTCAACTTTTTCCTCATAGACTGTGAGATTCAAACAGTCTGGTAGAATCTAGCATGAGGAATTTTCAGGAAAAGGACTGGACTCGAATGCAGACTTTTCAGGGACTCTCAATTAGAGGGTGTGTGAAACCATAGAAGGTAAGTAGAGAGCACAAGGCTGGAAGAATCTTGGTGGTAGCTACAACTGGAAGACAGTATAGGATGGTGTTGCCATAGAAGAAAAGGCAGGTGGAGATGCAGCTCAGGAGTAGAGCACATGCCCGGCCTGTATAAAGCCCTGGATTGGATCTTAAGCACAGAAAAAAGGGGGGCAAAGTAATCAGTCACAGACAGGCGTCTATAATGACACATCAGCCAAGAAGTAAAGTTTCCAAGGAATGTCACAGCTAATAATAATTGTTGACTGCTATAGAGGTATCAATGATGGCAAAGTACTCATGATAATTTTCATGGATGGTGGGATAGAAACCAGATTGTAAATATGGTGGGGCTGAGTGCATTAACATAATGCAACTTGTTGTTATCCTTTTTTTATTCTTTCAAGAAGTTTGGAAACAAAGGGAAGGAAAATAAAGGTTGGTAAGTTGTACTGGAGGTAGAACAGAGTAAGTGTAGACTGAATATCTTGGTGGACTAGTAGGCACATGCCTCAGGGCACACAGAGCGAGGAACACAAGGGCTGATGGGAAAATACACAGAGGGCACTGGTCACAGCAGGCACAAGGGCGAGTAACAGGGACAAGGGCGAGCCCATGGAGGCCTAATATGAGGACATAAGAGAGGTGGTAGCAGGCATTGTGGTGCACACCTTTAATCCCAGCACTTGGGAGGTGCAGGCAGGTGGATCTCTGTGAGTGTGACGCAGCCTAGTCTACAAAGTGAGTTTCAGGACAGACAGTGCTATATAGAGAAACCCTGTCAAAAACAGACAAACAAACAAAAATTAACAACAGAGAGTGGGGGGGGGTGCAGAGGGGAGAGATGGTGGTGGTCAAACACTAGAAGATACTGAAATACTGAAAGAAAATAGAAGACAAAACCACCAGGAATCGAGAAGAGAAGATGCAGCTTGGCAGAGAAATTCACTGAGGGATGTAACCAAAGAAAACTGGAAACTAAAGGCTAAAGACAAAGATGGGTCATCGTAATAAGACACTGGCCAAATAGTTAAGTTAATCGTAAATAGAGCTGCAGTATTGGATCAATGGTTAAGAGTACTTGTTGCTCTTCCAGAAGATCCAAGTTTATTTTCCAGCTCCCACATGACAGCTTACAACCATTCATTACTCCAGTTCCGGGGGATCTGATGCCCTCTTCTGACCTCCTTGGGCCCCAGGCACACA